TTTTAGTAGAGACGGGGTTTCACCATGTTGACCAGGATGGTCTCGATCTCTTGACCTCGTGATCCACCCGCCTCGGCCTCCCAAAGTGCTGGGATTACAGGCTTGAGCCACCGTGCCCGGCCCCTGTTTTTTTTAATACAGAGAATGATGCTCTAGTTAGGTATTTTCCTAGGTATATACTGGCACTTTTTATCTTTCTTATTTCCCTGCTTTCTTTTTTTCTAGAGTCATTTATTGGCATATTTTTAACATATATGTGTAGTATATATGTGTATTTTTAAATTTGACTATAGTTAAATATAAGCTTAAGTATATTTTTTCTATTATCACTATAAATTTTATTACTCAGATTCTATGTTCTGGCAGTTTTTCATAATTGAAAAGCCAATGTTGCAAAAACATACCAATTTACTACCATCAATAAATGGAAAATGCTTATTTTAACATGTGTACCTATAGTATTGTAACTACATTTTCTTCATCTTTAATGGGTAAAAACAATTGTTTGAGTTTATATTTTTCTGACCCTTAATAGGGTTGTATTTTTTTTTATATGCTTGCTAGTTTATTTTTGATTTTATAAATTGTCTTTAGCAAATGTTTACTTATCAATCAGATTGATCTGCCTTTGAGTTACTTCTATTACCACTACCACTACCATTACCACTGCCACTGTGTAGTGAGCACTGAGCTAGGTTTAAGGGGTATTACAGGAAATCATGATATAGAAGAGGATCAAACACATATATTACGTGCCATAATAGAGGCAGGTATAATTTGTCATGGGATCTTGAGTGACAATATTAAGTACTCAATAAGCTTTTAATTACCATGTGATAGGCACCATTCTAAGTAGTTTTAAAAATATTATCTCATTTAATCCTCATAATAACCCTATGCAATAGGTACTCTGATTATCTTCATTTTACAGATAAAGAAACTGAGGCACAAGGAGTTTAATTACTTGCCATAAGTGAAAATGTTAGTAAATGGTGAAACTGAGATTAAACTCAGGGAGTGTCACTCCAAAGTCTGTGTTCTTAACTACTAACCTATAATGACTCTATCAGTTTTTAAGTGTTGGATTCATCGAGGTGGTATTAGAGATATTCATTTGCATTATAATAAAAGGTGAGTATGTTGAAATGCTTTTTAAAATAGTCATATCATTTTCCATTCATTTATGATTATTTATTCTACTAATTATCCTGTTCAAGTGAACAATTAATACAAATGTGACTCCAGCTCTTACCTATTTATCCAGCTATTCATCTCAAATTCTTTTTTCCTTGGATGTGTATGTCTTTTTTTTTAATTGAAAAATCATAAATGACTTTCATAGGTATTAATGAATTTTTAACAAGGAAATTCTGGGTTTTCTATATCAGTCAAGATATAGACAAGAAACGTGGAAAAGCATCTTTTTTTTTAACTAATGTACTAAATTTAAAGAGCTTGCTGGAAAGAAATCTCAGTTTTGTTAGCTGTTTTTATACTAAGGCTCTGGGGCATGACAGAATTTTGCTTGGATGGGAGATAGTAGCATTGTGTTTACAATTAAACAATTAGAATAGAAATTATGTATGATAAAATATAAAAAGTCATAAGCCCTTAATCCCTTGGTATTTTAGTATCAGTGCAAGTCTTGGGTAAAATTTCACCTCATTTCTTGCTGGTGTAGATTAAACGAAAAAAAAAACTACCTCACTGTCTAAAATTGACATGTCAGATTATTAACTTATAAATTCATAATTCTTCACACACCCACACCCACACCCACACACCACCTACGAAATGGAAACATACACTGAAATTTGTAGCTACCCCATAGAATAATTTTTGGCACATAGTAGGCATTCAGTAAATATTTGCTCAGTGAATAAATAAAGGCATTCTTTTTCTCTCATTTTATTTGATCATCATCAAGTTGTTGTTAAGGAGAAAAATGTGACCATTTACAGATATAACAAAAGCATGCCTCATGAGTGAAATGTAAGTTTAATCATATTCTTTTGACAGTTTTAAGGATTCTAATCAAGGAAACCCTTTTAAGAAATTCTGATGTAGATGAAATAGGTTTTTAAAGTACCTGAGCTCATCACTATCTATTTGAATGAAATTTGTGGTGAATTTATTTGTAATATAATTTAATTCTTGATTAAGGAAAGTATATAATGTATTTTGCTATACAAATAGAATATATAAAACACACTTTTAAATGATGAGCAGGGTGGAAAATCTACTCTTACTAGTAAGCAGAGCAATATATCAAATTCCTTCTGTGTTCTTTTGTTAAATTTTCAGGTGAGGGGAAGTGGCTTCGAAACATTGACTATTACCGTTTAGATGGTTCCACTACTGCACAGTCAAGGAAGAAATGGGCTGAAGAATTTAATGATGAAACTAATGTGAGGTAGGAAACATTTTCTGTATATATAGAAACATTAAAACAATTCATTTTTTAATGTACATACAGCAAAGTCCACTATTTTTATTGTGTATATGATTGTTTTTGGCAAATGCAGGATGCAATCAGGATGCAAAATGGTGTCATCACTCCCTGCCCACTGAATTCACTTTTATGGAATCATATTATTTGTGGCCTTTTGAGTCTCACTTCTTTCACTTAGTGAAATTTATTTGAGAATCATCTAGTTGTTGCATACACCAATAATTTTTTTTAAATTGTTGTATAGTCTTCCATTATATGGATATATCAGAGTTGGTTTAGCTACTTCACTTGAGGGACATTTGAGTTGTTTCCAGGTTTTAGAATTAAAATCAGAGCTGCTCTAAGCTTTCATGTTCAAGTTTTTGTGTGAACATAAGTATTTACCTAAATGATAAGAAAGCCTGGGATTTATAGTAAGTTTATATTTATCTTTGTAAGAAACTGTCAGGTTTCCAAAGTAGCTGTGTAATTTTGCATTGCCACCAGCAGTTGTGTGAGAGTTGCAGTTGCCCTGCATTCTTGTCTGTACTTGGTAGTGTCATGTTTTTATAAAAATTATTTTACTTATTCTAATATAGGTATAATGGTATCTCTTGTGATTTTAATTTGCTGTTCCCTAATGATAAATCATGTTGAGCATCTTTTCATGTGCTTATTGACCATCCAGGGAAATTTGTGTATGTATTGTTGATATTGTTTTAAGCTGTTAGTAATTGATAAAATCAAACTACATTTGGAAAGGAAAAGTTGTACGTATGGTCATATATCACTTAACAACCAGTATACATTCTGAGAAATGCATCATTAGGCAGTTTTGTTATGTGGATATCATTGAGTGTACTTATACAAACCTAAGCCTACTGTACACCAGTACAGTATAATAATAAGCTATAGCTTATTGCTCCTAGGCAGCAAAGCTGTACAGCATGTTACTGTACTGAATACTGTAGGCAATTGGAACACAATGGTATTTGTGTATGTAACATACCTAAACATAGAAAAGATACAGTAAAAATTTGTATTATTATCTTATGAAATTGCCTTTGTATACGCTGTCAGTTACTGACCAGAACATTATGTGGCACATCACTATACATACATATTAACATATGTACATATGCTTACATATACACATACACAAAGGTAAGAAAGCATGACATTTAAGAAAAGGATAAAGGAGATGGGGTTAGTATAATAGAAAGATGGCTGAAGTATGCCTTAATAAATATTTTAAACTATGGAGGATATTATACTGTGTGTGTAAAACATGTTTTAATTTTAGCAGCATCATGAACTAGACCTAAGCTTAAGACAAGAGAAATTTCAGTTACATTTTAGGAAGATTAATAATTATTGAAAACCTGAAGTCTTAGAGAGCTTACAAAGGGATGATTTGAATACAGTTAAATTGTAAATGTATATGATTGATTATATAACTGCTTAAAGAATAAACACATTTTTATATTCTGTGTTTTTCATGTTTAAACAAATTATTATTTGTGCATGAATGTGAAGAAGTAATTTTATTGAGTAACCCAAATTTCTCAAAAGTAATCTAAATCTTTGGCTTGCTTGGTTTCCCAAATTTTAAAATATGAAAATGGCATATGATCTGGCACATGACATTTATACTTGATGATTAGTAGAGGAAAACATTGAAATGTAGACGTTGAGCTGTCAGCTTGGTTTACTCACTAGTGAATCACCCCTAAACATATGCCAAAAAGCATTTCATTCAAATTCATGCTTCAGGCAAATACTGGTTGAGTATTTCTTATCCAAAGTGCTTGGGGATGTTTGGGACCAGAAGCATTTCTGTTATGGGATTTTTTTTCAGAGTTTTGAATATTTATATTCTTACCTGTTGAGTATTCCAAATCTGAAAATCTGAAATCCTAAATGTCCCAGTGAGCATTTTCTTTTTCTTTCTTTTTTTTTTTTTTTTTGAGACAGGCTTTTGGTTTGGCGCCAGGCGCCAGGCTGGAGTACAGTGGTGCAATCTCGGCTCACTGCAATCTCCGCCTCCTGGGTTCAAGCAATTCTCCTGCCTCAACCTCCCCAGTAGGTGGGATTACAGGCACACGCCACCATGCCCAGCTAATTTTTTGTATTTTTAGTAGAGACGGGGTTTCACCATGTTGGCCAGGATGGTCTCGATCTCTTGACCTTGTGATCCACCCGCCTCGGCCTCCCAAAGTGCTGGGATTACAGGCGTGAGCCACCGCACCCAGCCCCAATGAGCATTCTCTTTGAGTGTCATGTTGGCAGTCAAAAAGTTTTACAGTTTGGAGAATTTAGGATTTCAGACTTACAGATTTGGGATGCTCAACCTGTACATGTATATTATGGATTTGTAGAGTTGCTCTTGAGTAGCTGAACCCCATGCACATGAAATACACAAATGTTATGCTGTCTCTAGAAATCCAGAAACAAACTGAAAATGAAACAAAAAGCAAGATGAAAAGAGCAAAGAAAAAAAAATCCATAAATGTTTTAGATTATATCTTTGTATATTCTAAATTTTCATGATTCAGTAATTTTCAATAAATAGGATATAAATATAATCCTTGTTTATACCAAAGCAATCTGAAAGACACATTAAAATAAACTTTAAGATAATGGCCATTTCTAACGTTGTTGTTTTATGTGAGCTGAAAGTAATTTTCAGCAGACTCTGAGTGTCTGGTTAGCTTGATACTATTTTTGGTTTGTTTGTCTTACTTTTAATTTAGAAATGATTATAGATTCACCTGAACTTGCAAATATAGTACAGAGAAGTCCTGTGAACCTTTCATCTAATTTTCCCCAATGGTTAAATCTTATAGCTCAGTATCAAAACTAAGAAATTTTGCTAGTAGTAGACTACCCTTTTATAGTCACACCCATTTTTACTACCAGCCTTGTCACTAACCTTAACCCCTGACAATGACTAATTTATCTTCCATCTCTATTATTTTGTTATATTAAGACTGTCATATAAATGGTATCATTCATTATATGTGATCTCTTGAGATTAGCTTTTTTCACTCAGCATAATGTCCTTGAGTTCCATCCAAGTTGTCACATGTATCAATAGTTTGTTCCATTTTATTACAGAGTAGTATTTCATGGATGGATGTACCACAGATGTTAAATCATTCACTTATTACAGGACATTTTTGTTTTGTCCAGATTTGGCTATTAGAAATAAATCTGCTGTGAACATTGTGTTCCAGCTTTTTGTGTGGATCTAAGTTTTCATTTCTCTAGGATAAATGCCCAGGAATGCCTTTGCTAGGTCACATGGTAAGTATGCATTACTTTTTTAAGAAACTGCCAAACTCTTATTTAGAATGAGTGTACCATTTTATAGTCCTACCAGCAGTGTGTGAGAAATCAAGTTTCTCTGCATCCTCACCAGCATTTGGTATTATCAGTATTTTTTATTTTAGGTGTTCTGCTAGGTGTATAGTGGTATCTTATTGTGGTCTTAATTTGCAATTCCCTAATGACCAGTTATATTGAGCATCTTATGTATTTATTTGCCATCAAATATTATATTTCCTCTTGGGTGAAAATCTCTTTATATGTTTTTGTCCATTTTCTTATTGGATTGCTTTTTTTATTGTAGAGTTTTGAGAATTCTTTATGTAATCTAGATATGTATCCATTTTTTTATATTTGTTTTTTTAATCTAAATTTAATTTTTTAATTCTATAACTTTTTAAAAATATATATATTATATTGCATTTTAGGTTCTGGAGTACATGTAAAGAACATGCAGGATTGTTGCATAGATACATACATGGCAATGTGGTTTGCTGTCTCCATCCCCATCACCTATATCTGGCATTTCTCCCCATGTTATCTCTCACCAACTTCCTTCCCCTCACTGTCCCTCCCCTAGTCCCCCCCCGCCCGCCACAGACCTCAGTGTGTGATGCTCCCCTCCCTGTATCCATGTGTTCTCATTGTTCAACACCCGCCTATCAGCGAGGGAACTTGCTGGGACTGCGCTCTGGAGCTGAGCTGTTCCTATTCGGCCATCTTGGCGCAAGTCTAAAATCTGTTTTCAGTTGTAATATTTTTAGCAGTAGAGAATTGGTAACTTTACCCTTGAGTTTTCTGATCTGTGAACACAGTGTATCTGTCCATTGATGCTAATCTTTGACTTCTTTCATCAGTGTGTTATAGTTTTCAGTATACATGTCCTCTAGATCTTTTGATAGATTTATACCCAGGTATTCTCTTTTTTTGAGTCATTGTAAATGATACTGTATTTTTAATTTTCGTTTCCATGTGTTCATTGCTCAAATATAGAAATGCAATTGATTTTTTTTGTTGGTCTTTTGTCTGTAATCTTGCTGACTTCGTTTGTTCTAGAAGTTTGTTTTGTGGATTTCTTGGGATTTTCTAAATGGACCGTTATGTTATCTGCTAGTAGGGATAGCTCTATTTCTTCTTTTATGATCTGTATGCTGTTTGTTTCCTTTTGTTGCCTGTTGCTATTGATTTGGGGTGGCAGCAAAATATTATGGAAAATATTTAAGGAAAGTTATAGATTATAACCTCAAACCTTTTGGAAGGCTGAAAGGTTTTATTGGGATAGGCGGAAAGTGGTGGCCGGTCCATTATTTTAAGTTAGGGAGAGATAATACGATCAAAGGCCTTGCCCCACACCTATTTGCCTCCAGTCTGTTTACTCATGCTAATTTTGTGCTGGGTTGCCCCTCTGGGGAGGACCAAAAGGGAATTACCTGTTAATAGTATTTACTCTGGGCCCCAGAACCTAAAGCTTTTATCATTCCCAAAACCGTTCTCTTAACCATATTAATTATCCACAAGTGTATTAACTTAGAACCTGTGTTATAAGATCTTGAGGGAATAAATGTGTGGTGGACAGAGGGTCTGGGTCGATTGGTTGCAATTTACCCTCTGAAAGCAGCCAACGGCCATCCCCAGCCCACTTCAAACACTGTAAT